TCAGAGAGAACCAAGGAATGAAAGGGAGAGATAACAGTTTGATCTCATTCCCATGACATACAAAGAGTTGTACCAACAGCTCTTCGACACTCACGCGGTGTCACCCTACCCTATGGATCCGATAAAGCCCCCTATCTTATATGGTTTGATGAAAACGCCCACTGTGAATATCATGGTAGTGTGCAGGGGCATTCAATTGAAAGTTGTCTCACATTCAAGAGGCTTGTACAATGAATGCGGAACAAGAATTGGATCCATTTCAACTCTGGAACACCGAACGTTGCTCAGAATCCCTTGCCTAATCATCCGGAGACTGGAATCAATGCAGTCACTACCGAGAGCGGCAGGAGAATCAAAACAAGGATTGAAGATGGTAATCATTGGTATTACCACAACGAAGAAGGGAATGAAGTACAAGAGTGCCCAGAATTCAAATTGTTAGTCCAGCTCATGATGGACCAGAAAGAGCTGGAATTTTACGAAGAAATTCAAGATTCTTTGGAAGCATATGTTTGTGCTACCGGAGAATCATCCGACAAGAAGTACATCAAGGGTAGTCCTTTGATAATTACCCCTAAAGAAAAGATGACCACGACTATACCAGCCAAGGTGGTGATCACAGTACCTCGGTATTTTCAATACAAGGACAATCGACGAGTGACATGGAAGTACGAATGCCAGGTGAGTACTTCCAAAGAATGTGATAACAAAATGGGGAAAAGACCACTTGAGCCCTTCAAAGAAGATGTGCTAGCCATCAACGAACCTATCAAAGAGGAAGAAGCTAAGGAGTTCCTCAAGATCTTGAAGCACAACGAGTATAACATTGTAGAACAGCTCCACAGCTTACCTACGCGTACTTCAATGCCAGTACTATTGTTGAACTCGGAGGCACATCGGAAGGCCTTGTTGAAAGTTCTTAATCAAACGTTCGTGCCATAAGACATACAAGTCAACAAGATGGATCAACTAGTGAACAATATTCAAGATGATAATCTCATCTCATTTTTAGATGATGAGATTCCATCCGGAGGAAGAGGCCGAACAAAGGCGTTACACATTACTACATATTGCAAGGGGCATGCCTTACCAAGTGTGTTGATTGACAACGGCTCAACCCTGAACGTAATGCCTTTGGTTATATTGAAAAGGCTGCCAATATATACCTCATATATGGGAACCTGCCAGAATGTGGTCCGAGCATTTGATGGGACCAAGAGAAAGGTTATTGGCAAGATCGAGGTACCGTTAACAATCGGACCTACCACCTATGATGTTGAATTCCTAGTGATGGATATCATGCCTTTTTACAACTGTCTGTTGAGGAGGCCATGGATTCATCAAGCAGGTGCAGTGTCGTCCATATTGCATCAAAAGGTTAAATTTGTTATTGACGGGGCCTTAGTAATCATCAATGTTGAGGAAGATATCATGGCAAGTGTGACCATAGAGGCCTCATACATCAAAGTAAATGAGGAAGCAGTGGAGTGCTCATTCCGCTCCTTAGAGTTTGTGAATGCCACATTCGTGGTAGAAGGAAGAAGAATCCCTAAATCCTGGCTTTCCAAGTGTATCAGAATGGAGATCATGCAGACTTTGGGAAGAGGTGCCAGGACCGGGAGAGGTTTTGGGAAATATTTGTAAGAAAGGATTAGTCCAGTCCTTCCTATTTCAAAATTAGACCAGTTTGGGCTCGGTTTTCAGCCCAGTTAACATGAAAAGAGGAAGGAGATCCAAAAGAACCGGGAGAGAAGATTAGCCAGATTGACTGGAAATGAACTCTAATTGAAGCCTATGACATTCCCGCCTCTTTACCACACATTCAAGTCAGGTGGCTATGTGTTTGAAACCACCACATCTGATTTAGAAGCGGCTCTGGAAGATCTGAACATTAATGACGTGACCACAGAAGATGTTGACAACGAAGATAGATCTAGGATATGCCCTCTGCCACCTGGGTTCGTGCCTAGCAGTTGGTCGATGGAAGAACTACCTGTGGTTTACAAGAGTCTTTTAGAGTAATATTCGAACTATTCCTATTTGCCTATACCTGGGGCGATAGGTGATCTTTTGTAAGGGTGAATAAACATTTTGTTTAATTTCAATAAAAGATGCATTTTTTCCCATTTCCATGGCAAACACGTTTTTTATTTCATTTCTTTTTGAATTCATTTTCTATTTTCTTCATTCCAGTACTCTATTCTATTCTCTTTCAAGTTTAATTCTTTGACTCTTCGTGTGGGATATTTCCTCTCACACACACATATATTCTTTGTTCCTTCAGGACCCCAGATAACGATAATGCAGGCACTGATGATCATGATCCAGAGGTGGATTTTGAATCGGCTATTTGTCTTGGGGAATTTGATGAATGCGACAATGAAGAGGAGTGCAACTTACCAACCGAATTGTTGAGAATGGTAGAAAGAGAAGAAAAGCAAATATTGCCACATGAGGAGGCGATCGAAATCTTGAATCTGGGCACTGAAGATGACAGAAAGGAGGTTAAAATCGGCACAACTCTCTCGGATGAAGCAAGACAAAACTTGATAGTCCTACTTCAAGAGTACAGAGATGTGTTCTCCTGGTCGTATCAAGACATGCCGGGACTAGACACAGATATGGTAGTTCACAAACTACCGATCAAGCCAGAATGCGACCAGAAATGCTCCTTAAGATCAAAGAAGAGGTCAAGAAGTAATTTGATGCCGGTTTTCTTCAAGTGGCCAAGTATCCAGAGTGGGTGGCTAACATAGTGCATGTTCCGAAGAAAGACGGGAAAGTACGCATGTGTGTCGATTACTGGGACCTCAACAAGGCGAGCCCTAAAGATAATTTTCATCTACCTCACATTGACACATTGGTGGACAATACAGCCGGGAATGCTTTCTTTTCATTCATGGATGGATTCTCGGGATATAACCAGATCAAGATGCACCCTAAAGACATGGAGAAGACCACATTCGTCACAATGTGGGGGACTTTCTGCTACAAAGTAATGCCCTTCGGATTGAAGAATGCCAGGGCAACATATCAGAGAAATATGGTGACCTTGTTCCACGATATGATGCACAAAGAAATTGAGGTTTATGTCGACGACATGATTTTCAAGGAACAAACCGAGAATGAACATGTCGAGAACTTGAGAAAGCTCTTCCAGAGATTGAGGAAGTTCCAGCTACAATTGAACCCTAGCAAGTGTACCTTCGGGGTAATATCTGGAAAGCTATTAGGCTTCGTGGTCAACAGAAAAGGCATCGAGGTTGATCCCGATAAAGTCAAGGCTATCCACAATTTGCCTCTCCCACGAACACATAAGGAGGTTCGAGGTTTTCTGGGTAGATTGAATTACATAGCGCGGTTCATATCTCAGTTAACCGACAAGCGTGATCTAATATTTCGTCTTCTCCGAAAGAACAACTCTGGAGCAGTGTTGGGCTCCGGATCCCATGGTTCGACCTTCATTTACAGAGATCACTAGACGCTTACGCATCATGTCATCAGCATGCCAGGCAAAACCATAGGGTCATTAGCCGCAGAACCATCTAAGTAAAACGTCTCTCAGTAATTCCCTAATTTTGATGTTTGATGCACTCATCGAGCCTGTTTTATTTTATAAACTCCATAATCAGGTGTGTATTATTTTATATGAAGAGTAAGGGAGGAGGAGCTCCCATCGAGTTTGAGTGGGGAGACAGAGATATGATATTATTGAGTTTTGTAAGCAAGTAAAAAAGAAAATATGTGTTATATGTAAAGCTATTATTATTGGCGTCACAGTCAATAGTGGGATACAAACTTGGTTTTGGCGCTTGCTTGTAACTAAAGTTCAATACAAGTGTGTTTTTGGTATGTCAGTCTTCAGCGTAGCAAACTAAGCTGCTCTGGCCTTTCTAGCTTTCGTATTGTTTGATTTGCACTAAAATGATTCCTTTGCTTGGTCCCAAAAATACCAAGCAATTCATACTTCTCTAACGGTGCCTGCCTGAAAAAGCGATATCTGAGAAAAGGTAAAACCTTTAAGTTAGAAAATTTAATTTATTAAAAGTTGTACAAATCTTTAAGTGGATAAAAATAAATAATGGGTGTTAATTTATTTTTAAGGGTGTTGACCGCCATGTATGTATCGTATGGGGGTGATAGTTCAGTTGTATGTATATGAACATGTATTCAATGCACGAAACATCACAAAATCATATATTACATGCAACGTCTATACATACATGCGGTAAAAAGAGGAAGACTCGACATGGGAGATCATAATTTGGATTGTTTGAGGTGACCACGAGACACTGCCTTCAAAGATGATTCATAACACTTTTGTTGGTTAAAACAGAATACATGAATAATAATAATAAATAGTCAGCTAAAGTGGCAGGTGAGGAAGAGCATAGGAAGACAATGGCAGTCTTTATCAAAAGATTAGCTCAAACAGATACTGGGAAAAAAAAAAGATTAGTTGTTCCCCCTAACAGTTAGAGGATTTTCCAGGTTTGAAAGGAAAGACGATGAGTTTATTTGAAGGTTAAGGACAGGCGGCATCGTTTAAGGACATTTCGATGTTCATCCAAAAGACAAGTTGGCCCTAAACGATTATTCTTAACATGTGATATTGTATACACCCTCTAAACGCAACACAACTGTTCGAATCTAAATCCTCTATTAAAAATAATACTTACTTTTTATCGCTTAGATCTCTTGCATAAAGATTTAAAAATGTACAGATTTTGTGTGTCGTTTTGAAGATGAATCCTGGAATTCATGTGATAAATCACACAAAAGGGGTGTAGGATGCAGATAGATCCAAATCCAAGAAAAGAAACAACTTAATTAGCATTAGTTAGTCCAGGACACGTTTGATCTCCAAAATATAAACTTGTCAATCACCTACCTTAATCACATTCCAACTGGCGATCCCCATGATGATATGCTCCCCATTTAAGAGCCGTTTCACCATCCCACAAACGCACCACCTCTCTCTCTCTCTCTCTCTCTCTATCATGGAAGTAGAAACAAGAAGCAACGATGTGATCAAACTCGAAACCGCCTCAGATGTTGAACTCGTGCCAGATCAGAGTACCGACCGAATCAGTAGGTACAAAGAATGCAGGCGCAACCACGCGGCTTCATTCGGCCGCTACGCCATCGACGGTTGCAGGGAGTTCATTTGTTGCAAAGATGACGTCTTTACGTGCGCTGCATGCGGCTGCCACCGCAGCTTCCACCGCAAAGACCATCCCTCTTACGGTTCTGCACCTCCGTTTCTGGCACCCTTGCCTTTAGCATCCCACAATGGACTCACCGGTGAGACTTGTTTATTCAGTGAAGCGGATCGGAACATCAACAAGAGAGCGAGAAGAAGCAAGCTAACAGTGGATCAGAAGAACAAAATGATGGGTTTTGCTGATAAGTTAGGGTGGAGATCCCAGCTGAGGGAGAAGGATGCAGAGATACAACGCTTCTGCGAGGAAGTTGGGATAACCAAGCGAGTGTTCATCGTTTGGTTGAACAATAACCGGCACCGGAGAGATCATGCGTCCCAGCACATGTCATTTGGCTCAAATAAATGACTCATGAATTCTCTTTTTCCCCCTTGCGTAAGCGTAACTGAAACTGTGTCCGTCATGTGGCCTCGCTTTTACTTGTTTTTAGTTTGAGCGTTTTATGTTTGAACTTAAAAGGTGATATTATGGTTTTGGGCCCTTTATAATTCTTATATTAAAATTAGTCTGTGTACTTTAATTTGTAACAATTGGATCCTATACTTTTAGAAGTGCTCTTCATTTGTCTTTTTTGCTAATACAATGTATTAAACCACTCGACACCACCTCACCCGTAATTAGGAGGATAATGCACATTTAAATTTATCCATAAATAAGAAAATAATGTGTTTAAGTGTATTCGAATCTATACCTTTACTGATGTTAAAACAATAATGATATCAACTAAACTAAGGTTCATCCACGACATTTTATTTTGGTATTTTGACCCTAATGTTTCATTTTAGGAAAAATAGTTGTATTTTGGAGTGTTGATCGTTTGTTAACGAGCAATTTCTATGCACAAAGAAGCTTTTTTGCCACAAAATAAAATGATGAGAATCAAAATGCTCCAAAAAAAATAGATAGGTGCCAATGTGACTATTTAATCAAATATTAGGGACGTTTTTGTCATTATGCATTTTTACTAAGCCATTTTCATTTTTGAGTAAACTACATATTTAGTCACCAATTATTTGTGCAATTCTTTTTTAGTTACCTAACTATTTTTTTAAAATCATATCTAATGTTATGTTTAGTTTCACTTTGGTCATCTACCATTAAAAACAATAGAACTACTGACGTTATATATTTTTTTAATTTTTAATAATGATGTAGAATTATCTTATGATGATATGTCAACATCACTGTTAAACTTTTAACAGCAGGTTGTCAAAATAAAACTAAAATATAACAATAAGTATAATTAAAAAAAAGCAATTGAGTGACCAAAACAGAACCACCTAAATAATTAGTTGTCTGAATACGTAGTTTATTCCTTTCTTTTAAAAGGGTATCCATTTTTAGTCGGTGATTTGAGTGTTAAAAGGGTGAAGTGCATCAAGCAGAATATCTCAGGCCGCATCCAACCGTACCCCACCTCTCTCCATCACAGTCAAGTAATTGCGACCAAATGAAACAGTACTCTGAAAAGTAACTACCTTCCATTTGCGGCGGCTGGTTTCTTTGTGTTACAACAAGTACTTAGGGTTTTATTTGGGTCAGCCATTGCAAGATGTCTCTCTTGCAGCCTCATTTCCGGCAGTGCCCCACCGCATTTACGCCCGCCTTCTCGATCTCCTCTAATCACTCACTCTACGTATCGGTTTCTAAATGTAGCTTCATCTCTTGTTGCTCCTCGCAGTCCCAAACGGCCGTCGTTGATGTGCCGATCGACAGTAAAATCGCTGAAAGGGATGAGATTCGATTCGGCTTGCCTAGCAAAGGTCGCATGGCTGCCGATACTCTCGATCTACTGAAGGTACTGCTTCCTTCACAACAAAACGAAGTGTTACTTTTTTTTTTGTCTTTTTTTGTTAATTATTTAGAAAGTTGATTTACGTTCATAGGATGCAAAAGCTATTAATGTCAGTGAGAAATTATTTTTAAAATTCTAACTTTTGTAAATACGTAATTTCAATAATTATGTTTGAATGTGTTTACATTTTAACCACTTTTACTCAACTTGTTTTTCTTGTTTGAAATTAATGTTCTGATTCATTTTAATCCTCTGTATCTTCTGCAAAAGGATTTTCAATTATCGGTTAAGCAGGTCAATCCGAGGCAGTATGTTGCGCAAATACCTCAGGTTTGTGCCATTTTTCTATCTCACAATTTGCATTGTACTTGGCATCTATATCTTATTTATGTATGGTTGATATTCAATGCTTAGTTTGTCCTTCTCCCAGCTTTCCAATGTAGAAGTCTGGTTTCAGCGGCCCAAAGACATTGTCCGGAAATTGTTATCTGGAGATTTAGATCTTGGTATCGTTGGGCTAGATACTGTCACTGAATATGGACAAGTAAGTTTTGAACTATAGGATACTGTTTAACTGTGGACATCCTTTGTAGTGTTTTGCGATTGTGAAAATGTCACTAGTATTTCAATTATCCAACTGAGTCAGCAATTATGTAATATGTAGAATTCCTGCCTTGCAATGTCATATTTATAGTTAAAACTATCTGTTATATGTTATCGTTTAAGTTATCCAGAGTTGTGTTTGGTTGTAATGTAGTTTATTCTAAACTGCATTTATCATCTTCCTATGAGAAAAATGAGTTGCTCTCGGAAAATTGAGTGCAGATTAAAGTCTTATTGTTTCAATACTTTCTCAGGGTAATGAAGATCTTATCATTGTTCATGATGCCCTTGAGTACGGAGATTGCCGTTTATCCCTTGCAGTACGTGTTCTTTTTTCACAACTATATATTGAGCTGCGCCTTCCTGATATCCCTGCTAACCATTGTTTGTATTTTGTTTTTTCAGATTCCCAAGTATGGGATCTTTGAGAATATCAATTCACTGCAGGAACTATCCCGTATGCCCCAGTGGACCATTGAGAAACCTTTAAGAGTTGCAACTGGCTTCACTTATGTATGGCATACACGTCACTGATTTTTGTAATTATATGCTTTCCAGACTCTCTTTCTGTTGAAGTAGCTTACTGACAGAATGTTTCTATTTGAATTTAATTTCTTCTTCTTCTTCTTCTTTTTTTTTTTTTTGTCTTTCTGTACAGCTTGGTCCTAAATTTATGAAAGAAAATGGACTGAGGCATGTGACATTTTCAACTGCTGATGGAACCTTAGAGGCAGCTCCTGCTGTAAGAATTATATTCTCCCCAAGTACTTGTAATTTAGGTTTTTCTTTGAAGTTTTTACTTATTATATGCACCATCGTCATTAATATGTTTAGGCCTGGTAGTAGAATAGCATGGTGTCTCCCTTACAAGGCAACATTCCAAGTAGTAATGCATGTAGGTTTAGTTTTCAATCAAATATTCTATAACCCTAGATGGCCATATTCTCTTATCTATTAGACGAGATATTCTCCAATACTAGTACTTTTCTGCTATTTTGTTCAAACTCAGGTGTGAGCGTTAAATAAAATAATGCGTCTAATATGGGATATGTTTAACTTTCTCTAAGTTTTTTCATGTATTTGGAAGATCTTCATACTCATGGATATGCATCAAATATGAGTTCTTCTGGAAAAAAAAAAGAAAGAGAAAGTAGTGAGAGAGTGAGAGAAGATTTGAAAGGAAAAAAGTCCTCCAGTGGGGAATGGACGACGTTTGTGGATAATCGTAGCAAGAGAGTCTCTAGGAGAGCGCTAAGGGAGCTTTTCCATCATCAAGGTAAGGTTCTAAGTGTTTACATTCCAAATGTTTCCAACAAACCCAAGCATATGAACCATACATTTGCGTTTGTTCAGTTTGAGAAGGATGAAGGTTTAAGGTTTAAGGAAAGTGATTGTGAATATTAATGGAACGTGGATAGATGGCAAGAGAGTTTCTGTAGGGCCTTCAAAATACCAGAATCATCGGTCCAGGTTAACTGTTACTTCCAAATCCAAAAAGAAAGAAGAGAAGGTTAACAAGGGCGAGACCAAGAGAAGAAGTGAGGGAACAGAGCTTTTGGGCAGTTTGAGGGATGGAAGATCATACAAGGATGCTTTGGTTTTTAATGGAAGGTCGAGGGATGATCAGGTGTTTAAGGACAATAATGAGGGTCGTAAGGGGAGGGTCTCCGGGATAAGAAATGTATGGGAGATGCATATCCCTTCGGTTGAATTGGATTGGGTCAAAAGGTCTTTAACAGGGATAATCAGACCTCTCTTTAATTTGGAACTGGTTCAAAAGGGGTTCGCAAGCGATGAGATCAACGTTAAGATAGCCAACTGGGGCTATGCTTGGAATTCATGCATTGTCACCTTTAGTTCGGTACAAGAACTAGCAAAGATGTGGTCGAAGAAAAAGGAGGAACTTTTATTTTTGTTTCAATGGCTAGAATCTTTGTTAAATGAGGAAGGTATCCCTATGGCATTCTGTTCGGTTGAAATGAATGGAGTGCCTTTGTTATGCTGGAATGTTCCGTTCTTGGAAAAGATTGCTGACCAGTGGGGAAAGCTGAAGAACATCCACGAATCGACGGTAAAAATAACGGACATGTCAGTAGCAAGGGTACTGTTGAGGGTGGTGAGCCCTTTTGATGTACCAGAAACGATCACGTTGGGATCTTATTGAAGATCATTCAAGGTTAAAGTTGAACTTGGATCGGTGTTTAGAAGACAGGAGGTTATGTCGGAGATGTCATCAGAAGTTGCTACAGAGGGCGAGTACAGTGAGGTTGCAGTGTCAGTGGAGGAGGAAGAAGAAGGTTCAACAGAGGAAGTTGGTAGACCTGACCTGGCAGTAGAGGATACTAGGTTAAGGGTGGACACGTGGTTGGAAGGGGTGGAGTTTTTGAATTATCAGGCGGTAGTGGGGACCAGCAATTAATGTGGTAGGAGAGAGAAACAGAACAAAGCAGAGTAGGAGTGTCAGATTTTATTGACTTTGGGAAAAATACTCTGGGGATTTTCAGGGAATAGATTTAAGAAAAAAAGTCAATTTGGAGGGCAGCTTTCAAGCCCAATCAGAACACAATTGTGAGCCCATTTCCATTGATTTCAGATTGGTTCCGTCTAGGCCAGTTTGAACATAGCAAATATGGGATACAGAGGTATAAATGAGGTTAGGGTTGAGCATCTAGAAGTGTTGAAGCAGTCTGTGCTGATGGGAGGTGATCGAGGGAAAGACTCAGCTGATAAGGGTGTTTGTCGGGCTGTGACAGGAATTACTGCAATAAGGAGTTTGTCGTCCCCACCTTTGAATCTGAGAAGATCAAGTAGTGCTGGCACTATTTTCTGTGACAAAGTGTATAGTTAATCGAATAGGAAAAAAGCTACAGAAGAGTTAGAGATTGGATTTTCTGCAATGGATGCTTCGATAGAAAATGAAGAATTAGCGTCTACTTGGCAGGTGAGCAAA